AATTAAAAAATGGGAAAAGGACACAAACAGACACTTCTCCAATGAGGACATACAGAGGGTCCAGAGACATATGAAAAGTTGCTCAGCATCACTAACCATCAGAGAGATGCAAATTAAAACCACAATAAGATACCACTTCACACCAGTGAGACTGGCCACCATAAACAAATCAACAAACAACAAGCGTTGGAGAGGATGGGGAGAAAAGGGAACCCTAGTGCACTGTTGGTAGGAAAACAGATTGGTGCGAACACTATGGAAAACAGTAAGCACTTTCCTCAGAAAACTAAAAATGGAACCGCCTTTTGATCCAGCAATTCTACTGCTAGGATTATGCCCTATAAATCCTGAAAGACCAATTCAAAAGAACCTATGAACCCCCATATTCATCACAGCACAATTTATAATAGCCAAGTGCTGGAAGCAACCTAAGTGCTCATCAGTAAATAAATGTATCAAAAAACTATGGTACATTTACACAATGAAACACTGCGCAGCAGAGAGAAAAAAGGAGCTCCTACCCTTCAGGACAGCATGGATGGAGCTGGAGAGCATTACTTACAAAGTGAAATAAGCCAGGCAGTGAAAGACAAACACCATATGACCTCACCTATAAGTGGAACCTAATCAATAAAAGAAACACGCAAGCAAAATATAACCATAAACATTAAAATTAAGAACAAACTGACAGTAACCAGAGGGAAGATGAGAAAGGGAAAAGGGTTTTCAGGAACATGTATAAAGGGCACATGAACAAAGCCAAAGGGGGGGTAGGATCGAGGGTAGGAAGTGGGGATGGCTGGGGTGGGGGGAGTAGTGGTAGGGGGAAAATGAAGACAACTTTACTTGAACAATGATAAAAAAAGGGAAAAAAGACAGTTTTTAAATATGAGAAATGAAACTTTCAGGCTAAAATATTTGTAACATTTACTTCAACAAGTAATTTACTTTTCAAAATTTAAGAACTCATTAAAAATGGAACAACAGACCAATCCAACAGAAAAGCCAAAAGACAAAATATACAGCCAAAATATTCATAGGGGAGAATATCCAAATAACCAATAAACATTTGAAAACTTGTTTCCTCACCCCTTGGCAACCAAAGACCACCAAATTAAAACTAGAGAACAATTAATTTAATATTAATTACAGTTTAATGCTAAACATTGGTAAAAATTAAGTCTGAAGATGCCATGTGCTCGTGAGGATATAAGCAATCAGATTATTCATACTTTTGGAAGTATTAATCGGTATATGATGTCTAAAAACCAGTTTGACAATACCTAGAAATCTGAAAAAAAAAAAAAAAAAAAACCCTCAAAAGTCCCAGACATAGGCATATCCTAAAGAACTGTTCCATCATGTGAACAAATGACATGTGTACAAATGCTCAGAGCATATCGATTTCCTTTAAATAATATCATAAACAGTACTAATGCTCATCAGCAGGCAAGTAGGTAATAAATTGTGATGTATTCTTGCAAACTAATGATGAGCAGTGCAGATTACTGCATTTAAGCTTTGAGAAGAATATAAGTTGGAATACAGAAAAAAATTGCAAAGCTTTAAAATATGCAAAAATAAACATATTGTTTCTATGAATAATTAACACCATGTTTAGGAAATGATTATCTCCAGGGAGAGAGGAGCTTCAACTGTACTTTAATGTTCAGTTCTCAAGTGGAGGCCAAATTACTTCAAACTGTAATGCAAAAGAGGTAAACATATTGTAACCTACACAAACTTTAAATTTATTTTCCCCTTCCCTCAAAATATTCAAAATACATACAAGAATGTAAAACTCTTTGAAATAGATAACCCTGAGTTGCCACTTTATCTACAGATATAAAAGTGTTTTAGAAGCCACCATTATAACTATTATAATTATTGCTATTAAAATTATAACTATTATTTTTTCTGATAAAGAAACAATAATCTCCTGTCCTTGTTCCATGGATATTCAGTCATTGAAATAAATTATTTCATTGCAAACAGCATTAAACATTAATAAAATCAAGCTCTACTCAATCTACCAGGAAAACAAATAAAATAAACTGAGATTTTGACTATTCTAAAGATAAGAATTAATAATTATAAATTAGTATTATTTTGTGTGCAAAATGATATAATTGGTTGTAATTTTTATTAATTTTATTGACATTTATGAATTATGTAAATATTTATGTACTTATCTACATTTGAAGTTTAAAGTAACATGTAAGAGAATAAACTGAAAGATATTAATTAAATGATATAATATTCCATTGAACATTCATCCATTGTTTTTTAGCTAAACATAGTAAATATAAATTGTTTTTCTAAAATCAATAGAATAATGAACTATATTCCCAATTAGTAGTAATTCATCAATATAATTGAATGCAAATTGGTAAATTATTGACATTGTTTTTAAATATGTATGTGAGATTTTCTTAGATATTAGATAGAGAAATGAGAATCAATTTACTGTATAGGTTATAGCTCTTATGGATTTACTGTTACATTCTATACTAATACATTTATTCTGAATTTCAAATATTTTGAAAATAGTTAAACAATTTTGATAATATATGTTCACTTCTAACTTTTGTCATAAAATATGCATGATCCCAAATTTATTCATGTAAAGTTTACCATCTCCTTTCTTAAAACAGTTTATTAATCAAGTTTTTAGATTATCTTAAAAACTTGTGATAAATAGTATCCAACAGTATATTTCATAATCACTCAATATTTACTGAGCATGTTATATAACTTTAAATATGTAAAAATATTTGTTGTCTAAATATTACTTTTAGACTATTAATTTTTCAGACCTGTATTTTCCAGCACACAACTGTGACCTCTTCACGAAATAAGAACTTCCAATTAATTTTGTAAGTAAAGGAATAAATGTTCACTCCTCTCTGAAACAAAAGAAAGCAGTAAAGAGCCCACAGAATAGAAGAGGAAAGCCTATAGTCAATGTAACTAGGAAACACTATTAATTTTTAATTTTGAAGAAGTCCTCCCAGGGCCCAGCGGGAATCGGGTAAGCGAGCACACACGAGAACACTGTGACCTCTTCACCTCTCAATTACTGTGTTGCTTCAGGCTGTGGAACAAAGCCCGCGGACTGGCGGTCTCTGTAGTACTTACCAACTCTACGCAGAAGCTGGAGAATGAGGAATTGAATGAGAAACAAACTGATATTACCCTTTTACAAAAAAAAAAAAGAAAAGAAAAAAGACGGAAAAGGCTATTATTGATGTAGGCATGTAAAGCCGAAAGCTTGGTTTCTGTGGCTCCAGCAACACATACACACACACACACACACACATACACGCACACACAGAAAAAGACAGTATATTGCACAGTAAGCCAAAAGCCACCTCTTTTTTTCTGGACTACATTCATATCTGCTGATATAATTCATCATATTAACACGTTAAATAGAAAAAACTCATGAAAGTAATAATAATAAAAACTTCAAAAGGGTAAGAAAATGACTTGGAGCTATTCACACATTTATGATAAGTTGCAAGTGAAGACACTAGGAAAGTTCCTTACAGTTTATTCATTAAAAATCTACGGCCGATACCATACTAAATGGGAAAATAGTAGAAGCACTTAGTCTAAAGCTGGGAGCCAAACACAGGTGACCACTCTGGCCAATAGTAAAAACATAAAAATATGAGGAAGACTGTCCTGTACAACAAAAATAATGAAATATTTGAGATTGGAAGGGAAACATTAAACTATCATTGTTAGAAAAATATATTTAGGAGAGTATTAGATGCAACCTGCATCAGGACATCATTAGAGAAAAAACTCATCCTGTATCTCAACAATGTTGTTGGTTGCAAGATCAATATGTAAAAATAGGTAGCTCTTCATGATGCAACTGTAACAATTAGAACATATATTCAATAAGATAAAAATCTCATTTTGGTAGCAAAATACAGAATGTACCTAAGTGTAAATCTTAATAAATGATATATGAAGATGTCTATAGCATCAAAATTTATACTATTCTGTCTACTTAGTAAATGTTTAAAACCCACACTGCACACCTTGAGCTCGTTTTAGAGTATCTACTGATGCTAATACCTAAATATTATAAGATTGAAAAAGTAGTACTCTCAAGATAATAAATTAAATAATGTATTGCCCAATACATATTTAATACATGATTTATAAAAAAACATGTTATTGCCCTGGCTGGTGTAGCTCAGTGGATTGAGCGCGGGCCTGCGAACCAGACAATCGCGGTTCGATTCCCAGTCAGGGCACATGCCAGGGTTGCAGGCAGGTTCCCTGCAGGTCAGTTCCCAGCAGGGAACGCACGAAAGGCAACCATACATTGATGTTTCTCTCCCTCTCTCCTTCCCTTCCCCTCTAAAGATAAATAAATAAAATCTTAAAAAAACAAAACAAACAAAAAAACCACCACTAAAAAAAAACCATGTTATTTAATTTAGAATTGGCACTGATAAAGAACTTTAAAAGCAGCCCAAAGACTCTGCAAAACATTTTCTGTCAATACCACTTAAGCTCCAGGCTTACCTTCCTGAATATTCCCAGATCAGATGGATGACTTCTGTGACATTGGCTTTATCTCCAGCACATAAATGGAGAGTCCACTATTCTGTGTTCACCACCCCAAATCACCACTTCGTCCACCACTGTTCATCCCTGCTATACTCTCCTCCACTTCTCCCCACCTCCCTGAACTATTGTCTCCAATTAGATTCCTCACTTAACAAGCAAAACTGCCCAAGTCCTAAATACTTAGGCTTAGAAGACCATTTGCAGGGAAAACATAAAAGAGAGGTTCAACCATTGGATTAAAAGCAAAGAATTCAAAGGTGTCCTTTTTAAAGAGACAGTACTTTAGATGAATAATATGACTCCAGGTCAATCAATATTTTTGCAGTGTTTCCTGTTGAAAGGGCATAAGAAATTCTACCCCTCTGCCCAGCATACTTTTAGTAAGTGCATTATTTGAAAGTTACCACTGAGTACTTGATTTGGCAGCACACATGCTAAAATTAAAACAATACAGAGATTAGCATGGCTCCTGCATAAGAATGACATGCAAATTCATGAAGTATTCCATGTTTCTTGGATTAAAAAAAAACTGTGGTACATCCACACAATGCAGTATTACACAGCAGAAGAAAAAAAGGAATTCCTACCTTCTGAGACAGCATGGATGGAATTGCAGACTATTATACCAAGTGAAACGAGCAAGGTGCTAAAAAACACATATAAGAGGAATCGAATGAACAAAATAAACTAATGAGAAAAATAGATCCCAAAGCATAGAATCATGGAACAGACTGAAAGCTATAAGAGGGGCAGGGGGAAATGGGGTCAGATTGAAAGAAGGTGAAGGGATTAGTCTAAGAATGTATCTGAAGGACCCCTGGACATGGACAATGATGAGGAGACTGATTATGGAAATAGGGGGCAGGCTGGTAGAGAGGGGCAAAAGGGGAAAGAATGAGACAACTTTAATAGAATAAACAAAAATATTTTTTAAAAGCCACCACAGATTTTCAAATTTCATTTCTTGTGTTTTTCATTGAATCAAGCTGTGCTCATTGGTAAAATAATATTTTACTGCAAGAAAAACTCATGTACCTGGATACAGAACTATGATATTTTTTGGCCCAAATCAACTGGGACTAAAAAAAATTATTATAAGATTAAAATATCTAAAAGGAAGTTCATTGCATGATTGCCACCCATATTTATTTTGCCATTCAATTCATCCCCTCTTGAGGATTTGGTATTTAAACTGCTGAGTTTAAACAGAAGGCTCTAGAGGTGATGAGGGAAAGGTAAAATTCCATTAGGCTCCTTCAGCAACAGGACTTGTTGAGGTCTTCTAACCACTCACCCAGGGTCTCTCTCTCCTCAGCTGCTCTTTCTACTGCTCCTCACAAAATTTCTTACTAAATTAGCTAAAGAGAAGTGGATACTCTAGTTAAATGGCTAATAGCAAACAGTAAGGAACAATAAAAATGGAAATAAATGAACCATAAAAAAAGTAATATGTATGTACTTTTAGACCAGTGGTACCTCTAGTTTTTAATATTCCATTAAATGTTCTAATGGAAACCCAGGAACTCATTTATTAAAAGTGGGTTTATACAGGTTTACATACTTATAATTCTATCAAATACAAAATTAATGGTTTCAGACTAAACTATAGCATAAACTAGAGTACATGTATGAAGATGTATATATACACATTCATATACGTACATGAATTTACATATTTGACTACTAAAACAATTATACCAAAGGAGCATGGGAATTTAACCTGAGTCAAGGCAGAATATTTTCAAATTACCTGAAACAGTTCTGAAAGCCTTGGGAAAGTATATTCATTTATAGTTAGTGTAATTGTCTTGTTCCTGGAAGAGAACGAGTTCACTCTTCACCACCACCACAGTCATTTTTCTGAACAGATAGTTCTGTCGAGGAATGAGAGGACCCAAAAAAACCTCTCTCAAAAAATGGCGAAGGGTTAATGGTGAATATTTAGGAAAGAGATTCAATGATTGACTTTTATATTTACATAAATCACATCTCAAGACTCCTTCCTCATCTTCCCCTGGTGGTGCCTTATGTTCCCAGCCCAGCGATGCAATGCCAGTGTGCACAGTTCATTAGTCTCAAATGTTCTTGCTCAAGATTTGCAAATGATATAATAGCATCACTAATTTTACATGTTCAGCTTACATAATCATGTGAATACCATTTCTGAAACCATGAAAATTAAAACTTCATGAATAATTTACTTTTTTCCCCTACAGATAACCTGAAATAATAAGGAGAATTACGTGTACATAAAATATTCATACTTTAAAAAATAATTCTGGTCAATTTACATTTACTCCTATGGTTTATAGTCCTCTGATCTTTAATTTAGAAACAATGTTGGATTTCAAGAAATAAATAAGAAGGATACTCTCATAGTGAGATGATATCCATAGCATATTCTATTCTATTTGTTACATGTGACTTTTAAATAACAGCAGAAGGAAAATATTCTAAAATATTTTAATGAATTGTAAATGTTAGAATTCAAAGCATTTGTGTCCCAGAATCTAATAACAATGACTCTCAAATATAGCACAGTCTACCTAGAGGAGCTGGCCACAGTGTGCTAACATCAAAATAACATGAAACCTATTCAAAGGAAAGCTTATGGGTTTCTAGAGTATTAATTAAAAATGTTTACAATTAGATGGAGAATACATTACAAGGTGATGGAAAATTACACCTATATGTGATTCTGAAGAAAATAAATTTGGGGAGATGCTTTAATGTTCAGACTTAAAGGATGTTTTGAAGATTCTTCAATGACTTTTCACATGAAAAGTGTGAAGGGAAACTTTGAGTCATACTGTCTTAAAAGTGCATTGGTTTGTCTTAATCATTTATATATCATTTCACGGGACATTCATTAATCTTTTCATGTGCAGAATTATGTAAAATAAGCCTAGAATTAAAAAAAATTCTACAGCTGTTCCATTCTTCCTTAAGGCCTTTATTAGTAAACATGACATTCCATTACATGGCCAGATTAAAATAGTATCAGAACCTAAAGACAGGTATTATTATTTTGTTCCATTCTTCCTTAAGGCCTTTATTAGTAAACATGACATTCTATTACATGGCCAGATTAAAATAGTATCAGAACCTAAAGACAGGTATTATTATTTTGCATAACAACAGCATAGAGACCACTGCAGAAGTAAACAAATATCTGATTCTGCTGGATGAGTGGAAATAAAAATCGAGATATTATAATGAGAAATAAAATTCCATACAGAGAGGGTTATTCATATGTTTTAAAATTTGGAGTAATAATATATTGTGTTTTGAAACTGTTAAAGAGAAAGATGCTTTTAATAAATTGACATCTTTACAATGTTAATATTGAAAATTATGTTTGCTAAAGGAGAGGGGGCAAGAGGATGGGAATTTAAAAAAGAAAAGCTACATCAAAATACCACTTCCCATCTACCAGCAAATTTCCAAAAGTCTGACAACATAATCTATGGGCAACGCTCTAGGGATGTAGGTACATTCATATAGTGAGTGCTTGTGTGAGTAAAATACGCTACATATAAAAAATAATAATAAAATAAAATTCAAAGCTCCGTCTATAAAAATGATTAAGCAGAAGACCTATAAAACATGCCAAATGGATAACTAAAGTTTTACTGTGGTGGCAAGCTATCTGGGACAAAGTGACAGGCTACCCCAAGCCTAATTAGCACTGCTGGTGTTCAGAATCCTGTGACAACTCTTCGTTCTTGCCCGTGCTACCTGGTTCCTTTAGGTAGGCAGTCTCTATGGGACAGGCTGGCATTTATAAAAATTTAGAGTTCCTTTTCCAACTCAAAAACAGGAATTAATTTCTTGAAACAAAGAAAGGAGTGCCTGCTTTAGCCTTCTAAAATTTACGCTGCTTCAGTGATTACAAGTCAATTGATCTTTTCTCTTCTGTGAAAAACCAGCCTAAATCCATGGTTTTCTCTAAGGAAGCTACAAGGAAAAGTGATCTTCACTCTTTGGAAGTACATAGTTTAAGACAATCTTCTGAAAAAGGTTTTAAGGGTAAAAGTCTCCATCATTTCAAGTATACAGTTAATTTTCTCAGTAATTTTATTTAAATAAAAACTTTAGAAGTATTCTTCTCACAAGGTACTTTTAAAGTGAATCTTCTAAGAAAAATTATTTGGGGGGAAGCATATTTACAAGAGTATATACAACTTACATTTTTAGTGAGTTCTTTCATGTCCCTTTTGTGGAATGAAATGAAATTGAGATGGTAGAGAGTTGTTCTACTACTGAGTTTGGGTGTGAGATTTATGTATTTGTTTTCTTGCTTTGAGCAGTGCAAATAGAGGAGAAGCTATCAAAAGCTTCTTTGTGTGTGGTTTCATGTGAAAGAATTTAATCTGAGTACCAGATAGCATCAGGCTTCCAAGCATCTGACGTTTCTGCCCCAGGGCTGTTTTTAAGCAATTCCCCCTTCTCTTATCAATACAATTTGGCATATAGCTCTCCACATCCTCTTAATATAAAAGGGAGAAGTATAAATGGAAAGCCATGCTCCACCTAATTAAGTGTCAAAGGTGAAATCAACAAGACAAATCAAATCTGACTTCCACGTAGAAAAAAATGACATATTTCACATGTAAATTTTGTGTTATTTGGACTCCCATACTTTATCAAATTTATACATATCCCAAAAATCCTGAGCTAAGATTGAATCTTCTGTGACTTATCTAAACTCTGATATTCCCCTTTATAAAAACATGTGGATATTATCAGTATTGGAACTTTTCCTTTAATAATATCATGGGGAAAATAACTTTAATTCCATGGTCTCTGTTAAGAAGAAATAACACAATGGAACCTTACCCTGAGCCACTTGTGAAAGATATGAATAACTTTTCAGAAATGACATCAACTCAAATGTTTCTGGTGATTTAAATATGGTTTAAACAGAAAATGTTCCTTATATCCAAAGACAAAAATTCCTCTGATATTTTTTTAAAATATTTTAACTTGTTTATATCAGTAGGAGATTGAGGGTTTCTAAGAAATGTCCTTTTAGCTAATGGTGTAACTTAGTTAAATTATTTACTATTGGCTTTGCCTTTTTATTAAAGCATATGCATAGCCAAACACCTACTTGATGATTTGTGGATGGAAATGCCACCCTAAAACTGTTATCTTATTGTTAGGAAAAGCGAAGCATAAATACACCAAATGACCTGAATTTGTACTAACAGACTGAAATATAATAATGTTTCTAGCGTAATGGTTACTTTATTGTTCAGTGGGAATGGCTTTTACCAATTAAATTCTGCTATTTTGGTAACAGTTGATAGGTATTAATGAGAATAATAATAATAATTTGTTTTATGCTATTTGCCTTTCCTGTTTGCTTTGCTTCAAAGTACTTCACAAACATTCTCGAAATGAAAATGTAGATTGTCTAATGTCAGAATAGAAAATATATAACAGGAAGAAATTTCATAAAAGAGTCAGTAAGAAAGATTCAAGCAAGAAGTACAATTTAGATCTCTCAAA